TGGTGTGACCGTAGAATGTCACAGATGCCTGGGACAGTTTACACTTGTTCTTGTTGAGCTTGGCTTCACCTGGCGTAGGCGGGTGTAGAACAGTGTGTAGCCGCTGATCATGTTCGGCTTGGTCTTTGCCGTGCACCACAATATCGTCTGAGATGTTCTTGACACCAGGAATGTCGCGTATCGTCTCCTCTACAGCATTCTGGAATATCTCGGATGCTGCGTTTATTCCAAACATCAGTCTTTTGTATCTGTACAGGGCGACATGTGAGCTAAAGGTGGTGATGTGGCGGCTGTTCGGGTCTAGCTCAAGCTGGTGATACCCGGAGGCAAGATCTAAGGTGCTGAAGACGGTTGAGCCATTTAGGTCTGTTATAAGGTCGTCAATTGGCATGAGGTGTTTGACTCTCTTTACAGCTTTGTTGGCCTCTCTCATATCGACACACAGACGGAATTCGCCGCTTTTCTTTGGCACCACGACGAGTGGACTGACCCATGGAGTTGGTCCTTCGGCTTTCTCTATGATGTCGAGGTCCTCAAGTCTTCAGCAGCGAAGGTGTTAGAGCAGATCCTCAAAAGGTTGAAGCCATAACAAGTGCCAGTCCACCTACCAACGTCTCGGAATTAAGATCATTCCTGGGCATGGCTCAATATGTTGCCCGATTCATGCCTAACTTTGCTACCGTCACCACACCACTCAGACAGCTGACTCGCCAAGATGCCCCATGGCAATGGGAAGAAAGCCACACCGAAGCCTTCAACAAGCTGAAGCAAGCCCTCTCGTCAGCACAGATAATGACGTACTTCGACCCACACAAAGACTCAGATCTGATGGTTGATGCTAGCCCAACCGGCCTCGGAGCAATACTGACTCAAGACGGAAAGATAGTCAGCTACGCCAGCAAAGCGTTAACCGACGTGGAACGACGATACTCCCAGACTGAGCGAGAGATGCTGGCCACTGTATGGGGTACAGAACACTTCCACCTTTACCTTTACGGCTCTGCATTCACCATCCTCACCGATCACAAGCCACTAATCGGTATCTTCAAAAGCCAGAGGCCAGCAACTGCACGAATAGAACGCTGGAGACTCCGTCTCACACCCTACAACTTCCAGCTGAAATACCGTCCCGGTAAAGATGACAAGAATCCCGCCGACTACCTGAGTCGCCACCCTGCCTCAAAAACACCATCCAAGACTGACAGAGCTGAGGACTTTGTTAATTACTCGCGTCCTGTAAGAATGCTGTGCCAAAAGCAATGACTATGGAGCAAGTGGCAGAAGAAACTAAAACAGACACCAAGCTCCAAGCAGTCATGACATCCATCCGGATGGGCAAGTGGGAACAGCCCCTGGTCCAAAGTTTCAAGAAAGTCTGGCAAGAACTAACAGTCTGTGGAGAGATCATCCTCCGTGGATCACGTATAGTACTGCCGTCCAGTCTCCATGCCCAAGCTGTTAGTCTCGCCCATGCAGGGCACCAGGGAATAGTCAAAACCAAACAGCTGCTCCGGGAAAAAGTTTGGTTCCCTAACATAGACTCCCTAGCCGAAGACACAGTAAAACAGTGCCTACCATGTCAGGCATCTTCCAGTCATTCCAGCCCACCAGAACCGCTCAAGCCTAGACCGTTGCCTGGCGGCCCATGGAAAGAAATCTCCATTGACTTTCTTGGCCCACTTCCGTCGGGTGATGTGCTTTTGGTTGCCATAGACAACTACAGTCGTTTCCCTGAGGTAGAGATTATATCGTCAACTTCTGCAAAGACTGTTATACCCAAGTTGACGCAATGTTCGCTAGACATGGCATCCCAGAACTGTCTATTCTGACAATGGACCACCTTTCAACAGCGAAGACTTCAAAATGTTCGCCACAACCCTTGGATTCAGGCACAGACCTGTCACACCACTATGGCCGCAAGCCAACGGGGAGGCTGAACATTTCATGAGCCCCCTCATGAAGTCCATCAGAGCTGCTCATGTTGACCACAGAAGTTGGAAGCAGGAGTTTAACACATTCCTGAGACAATACCGAGCAACTCCTCATGCCACTACTGCTGTTTCTCCAGCCGAAGCCCTATATAACAGGCAAATCAGGACCACACTTCCATCACGCAGCCTACCAGCTGTTGCTTCTAGGAACGTCCACAAGGTCATCAAGACAACAGACGAGCTGAGAAAGGCTAAGGCAAAGGCCTATTACGACAGCCGCAAGAACGCCAAAGTCTCGCCACTCTCCATAGGCGACACAGTACTGGTCAAACAGCGCCGCACGAATAAGATGTCCACTCCATTCGACCCTCAGCCTCTGACCATCAGCGTAGGAAGGGCTCCATGGTAACTGCAACAAGGGGTGGATACAGTGTGACACGGAATGTCTCCTACTTCAAACCATTCCAAAGGAGACTACCGGAACCCGATGCCTTAGAGTTAGACGACCCAATCAGACCACCAAAGGACCCTCCAGGACATCCGAATAACACACCCCTGAGACCCTGTCTGAGGAGTCCAGAAAGACAGTCGAACAGACCGGAGAGAACAAGTCGTCCTCCTGTCCGCTTCAAGGACTACGTATGTCTATGCACATACACATAGGTTGTGAAAACCACATGGGAGTGAAGTGCTGGTAACCTCTCCTCCCAATTTGCTCAATAACAATGAGGACCAATATCTTAGTATAGTGTAGTATGCAGTATGCAATCTCTAGTATAGTGTGCAATTTCAAAATTCTGTGACTTTCATCAGTGTGCAATTTTGAGATTAATGTCAGTTAATAACTTCAGTAATTTTAGTCTTGTTAATAGTGATTTTAGTTTTAACTCGAAGTAATTTCTAACTAAAGAGGGGAGAGATGTTGTGTTGTGTATTGAAATCTTGTTTACAATATTGTGCTGCCACCTATACGGTGTTATGGTAACTATGTAGGCTACCCATAAGTCTCTCTCTTTCCGGTGTACCATGTAATAACGGCATGCAATAAATACGAGTTCACTTTACAAGAGCAGATTATTCTTTATATAAGAACTTTGAATACAATAAATGCCTACCAGATAACATATTACTAGTACTTTTTCAGCAACTACTAACGCTCAAGGGGTCGTTGTCGTAACAGGTACTACAGATATGTACCCGAGGTACATATATGTATACACAAAGTGTACCAGACTTTTACTACAGAAGTGCACCCTAGCCCTAACACTAACCCTAACCTAACCCTAACCCTAATCCTAACTCTAACCCTACGCCTAACCCTAAACATACCTCATATAAATATAAACATAATACTAAACAACCTAAAACTACCTCGGGTACATATCTGTAGTACCTGTTACGACAACGACCCTTCGTGCACTACTAACCCGACCAAACTAGTAATAAGCAATATAAAATTTGCGTGTGCAAACATAATAAAATTGCAAAACCTAAACTTAACAGTCACGATACCTCAGACAATAAAATCGGTTCCAACCACCATGCTGCTCTATTCACAAGCTCATGCCAATCCCCTCACAGTGTATATATACGCAATAGCGGAAATACGTTTCTGTTCTACTATATATTCTATATATATATATACTGAATCTATGCTGAATCTGAATTTCTACAAAGTTAAGGAATTTCGCAGCATGTATCTCCGACTCCGAGCGTCTAAAATCAAAACCCAGATCCCCCCCCCTGCAAATGGCAAAATTGTGCTCACTGCGTAGCTTCAGCGCGGCACTTCAGAAAAGTACGGGCTGGGAGATATTTTTAAGGGCTAGTAGATTTTACAGGTCACTAGCCCTGTTGGCTAGTGAACATTTTAGGTTAGTTTCAAGCCCTGCCCTATAAAAAGGCTATATTTTCATGAACTGAGTGAACAAATTCTTTAACTAACCGTTTATCAAACGAAATTTGCCATTAAAGTATAAATAACACGGTAACTCCACGGGTATTAAATGACATAATTGTGTTCACTCGTCACTTTATTCTCCTATTTCTGGCCTAAGCCCAAGCTCGTTTTTCTAGGTGTTTGCATATAGCTGACTAGTCACAGAACGAGTGTGTGCCATCTTCGCGGTAGTTTGCCGGTGTGGTGTTTTGAACATAAACATTGTTCAAAACAACCCATTGTCAACTCAAAATGCTAAGAGTAGATTGTAACACAATTATTTGATATCTCCTGCTTATTATGAGCTATAATAGTATAGTATATATATATGCATTAGTTATCGCAGGCACTACGGTCCAAACTCTACGTTACGACGCTGACTGCCACCGCGGCAGTATCATTTGCCCAATGCTACTGCGCTTTACACGCAGCGCTACTGTGCATGTGTGACGCATGCGCATGACGTGCTGGGGTAATTTCAGACCGGTGCAATCTCAGACCATGACACCGGCAACACTCCAACAATCAACACTGGAGACAGTGTCAGTGGAGTGGCAACCCAACAGACAGTGTCAGTAGCGCAGAGTCAATGAGTCATATAACAGGAGTGTCATAATTATAGACTATATTTTATGATAATAATATATTAAA